CATGCAAGTTAGGTGAAGTAGCCATTTTGGTTCAACATGCAAGTTAGATGAAGGATCCTTGGAAAATCCAAAATCCAAGATGTCCGACAAAGCAAAAAAGGAAAAATAGTATATAATCGGTCAATTTTAGTGATATTGAGCTGAAACTTGGTGTGGTGATAGTTGAGAATGTTTCCTATCAAATGCTGTATCAAAATCAAAAATCCAAGATGGCCAACAACGCTAATTTTAAATAGCTTTAACTCAGCCATTTTTACACATAGAGAGCTGAAATTTGGTGAAACTGTAGCTGAGAACGTTCTCTATAACATAGGGAATCCAAATCAAAAATCCAAGATGGCTGTCTTAGCTAAAAAAGAAAAAATACCATAACTCAGCCATTTTTAGAGCTATTCAGCTGAAATTTGGCATAATAATAGCTGAGAGCAAACCCAAACATTTTACTATTAAATCAATAATTTAAATGGGCAGCAGCCTAGCAGCCACCGTCAAAGTTTCTCTAGGAACTTTCTAGTTTAATGTTTATTCTTGTTAAGAGACAAAAACATTTTATTTTGTTGTGGAATCAAAAGTAATTAAAGTTAAAGTATAATTTCTTGTAAATCTAGGGCAGATTAACCTTTACTTTCAAAAGTTAGAGCTGCTTATGTTCACAGTTGTAGGCCAACACCACCAGTTTATTTGGTTCTTATAATTTATAAGCAAAATTTAAGAAAAGGGCTTCGCTGGTTGTTCTGGACCTTGGACCTTTCCTATAAATTAAATCTGGACCTTTAAATGTTACGTTTAATAATCCCTGATTTAGATCACTGGTTTTACGAGATATCATGCACCTGTTTACAGCTCAGGAATTAAAAAAAAAAACATGATCATTATCATTTAGACATATTACAGTGCAGATCTACTTTACCTTCATTAATGAAGCTGCATGTACAGTAAATCATCATGCTTCCTTTTATGACTGAGACTTTTACTATTTTATCCACTTATACGCTGAGGTTTTTTTAATTAGCATTTGTCTGTTTATTTAATCTGTTTTCACAAGCAGTATTCAAATATTTTACTTCCTTATTAGCACTTGTTAGGATTGCAAAAATTATTTACATTTGTGAGTATTTATAACAAGCTAGAGAAAATCAAGGAAATTTTATTTACCATTTATATATGTGATCATTGCATTTAGGTATTTCTTAGACTGTTATTATAAATAGCAGGCAAAAAATAAATAACATAAATAAATTGCACTGCTTACCTGGCCCCATACCGAAGCTGAGAATATAGGCAAAGATGCAGGCCATACTCAGGTAAGGCATCCAAGATATATAGCGCTGTTTGGATTTTTGGATGAAAATAAAACAATACACAAAAACAGATTATAAAATATACATTTTTGAAAATATGATGAGTAGGTTTAACAAGGTTAAGCCAGGTCCTCTGGACGGACTCTTCTTTGTTGAAACATTTTGTCTTTTATCCAAAAAACTTCTTCAGTCTGATAGAAGAAGTTTTTTGGATAAAAGACAAAACATTTCAACAAAGAAGAATTTGTCCAGAGGACCTGACTTAATCTTGTTAGATTTATCTACCTGGATTATTGAGCATGCATCATGATATGATGAGTAGGTAAAACTTTAAAATTTGCTATGCAGATTTAATTAAAAAGTTATTTTAATGCACTTTTAAATTTTTTTTCCTTTTGCACATCCAATTTTGAGTCTTGTCTGAAATCTAACTCATGGCTCCATTTTCTTCATTACATAAAAACATCGGAGAGAAAACTTAAAAATCTGTCTGCTTAGAGTTTTTACTTTACTAGCTGCTTTTATATAAATTAAGCTGCATTTCTTCCAGTTTTGATGACATAAAGTTGAACCCATAATGTTTTGAGAATAGGGTAAACGCTGACCTCAAATGAGAGTGCGATTGTGAAGACGATGGCCCAGATGGTCATAAAAAGGAACCCTCCCATCAACATGAATCTCCGACCTTTACGCTCCACCAGCAGGTTCTGAAAGAGTTAAAACCCTGATCAGGCTGTTTGTTTTTCATCAATCTTTTACTTTAGACAAACACCAGCCAGTTATGAACAAATCAGTTTAACCTACAGTACGCCCATATGTAATAATGTTCAGTACAAATGCACAAAAATGCAACAAAAAGCTAAAGAGTTTATGTAAATTATTCATAAACCGAATTTACTGTTCAACTAGAAATATTTTAGATGCTTTAACGTCCAAAAAAAAAAACCAATTATTAAAAGTATGTACATTTCTTTATGTGCCATCAAGTCTGAAGTTTAAGGTTTAGATTCTGTTTAAAGCAAACTTTTTGCAACACATATTTTGTTCTGATTAATCAAAAGTGGCAACATGAGATACTGGTGTGTCCTTCGAGTCAAATTATTCAGCCGGTAGTCATCAGGAAATGTTTTTGTTGTTTAAAAAAAAAAGGCCGAAAAGCGCATTTAAAAAGATCAGTGACAATTTTTATGAGCATATTAAAACATTAAAAAAATTATTCTATCTTGCATGAATGCAATTCTGCAGACACTAACAGCAAAATGTTCCTTTAATTTATCTCACTGTTCAATTTATGTAATTTATATGGTCTAAAAACACATTTATCAAAACTAATTAATATATTTCACATTAAGCAGCAAAACTATTTCAACCAGTTGTATTCAAATACATTTTTTGTCACAAACTAAAGTTGGATGATACAGATATATGGAGCCACATCTGAGGAAAATATGTAGTTATCACTCGCTGCAATGAAAAGATATTGCCTGTGCTTCAGTGTATATTTGTTATTCTGTTAGCTAAATATATTGTGAATCAAATTCTCTGAACATAATAATTAGGGGTACATCAAGAATTTAATAATTTTTGGAGTTAATCCAGTTCAACATGGCCATGACATGCAAGCAGTTTGAGCAAACATAATTTTTTTTATATCTCATCAGTTTTTTAGATATTGAGCTCAAAGTTGCCATGGTAGTAGCAGAGACTGATCCACATCACAAACTCTGAACACTATCAAATCAAAGATCTTTGCTTAAAACTTTAGTCTGAACGGTGGCGAGCAACATGTATTCCTTCAAGGAATGCTTCTTTGCAATGTGCAAATGCTTCAAAGCTGTTTTTTATTATTGACTTAAAGACGCATCCCGGTCCCAAACATCTAACTTGCTGTTTCTTTTCGGAGGTTTAAAAGGGTGAAAAATTGATCAACGAGTTGATGATGAGGAGAAGGAGCTACAGCTAATAAGAGAGCAAAAGACGAGGTGAAGGAGCACAAGATGGGGAACCGCAAAAAAGCAAACATGCAAATGAACAGAAAGTACAACAGAGAGAGTAGAAAAACCAAAGTGTGGTCTGAAAACACTTATGAAATTATTTTCAGGATGCAATGCCATGGCAAATTCAGGAGGAAAAAAGCAAGAAGAAAAACAAAAAGTTCTTCATAGCTGTCAGTATGAAGGGAAATCTGCACAGCAGCTGAAACTATTTAATTCAGTTGGTGGTTAAGTTTGGGAAAAAGTCATGTGTGACCTCCAACCACAGGTTACTTACAGTATGAACCAATCAAGACTTACACACTTTAAATTATAACTGAATTATGCACTCAGGTGCCTTTAAAACCAAAAGAACATAAATTGAAATCCAATTCCTCCAGTTTTAGCTTTTCTCCATTGGCTCCCTGTCAAATTCAGAATTGAATTCAAACTCTTACTTCTAACCTACAAAGCCCTCAACAACCTAGCTCCATCTTATATTACAAACCTTACTGTTCCATATTTTCCTAACAGAGCACGTCGCTCTCAGACTGCAGGTTTATGGTACTTGTGGTTCCTAGAGTTTCTAAAAGCAGAATGGGAGGCAGATCAGGATAATCTCTTGTGGAACCAACTTCCAGTTTCTGTCTGTGAGGTTGACACATTGTCTACTTTAAAGATTAGGCTTAAGACTTTCCTTTTTGATAAATCCTATAGATAGTGTCGACTTGGGATTCTTGAGCTATCCCTTAGTTATGCTCCTATAGGCTTAGACTGCTGGAGGACAAATTGACCACATTTCCTCACTCTGCTGCTGTCTTTATTTGCTGTACTCTACCTGTTAAGAGGGAGTTTTTCCTTTCCACTGTGGCCTTTGTGCTTGCTCAGGATGGAAGAGTGATGAAGTGAAGATTCAATGCAATCTGCTAGCTCCTTAGATAGAGAACTTTTACTATTTTTTTTTTAATGTATATGAATGTTTTTGTGCAGTGCCCTGAGACAACTTCTGTTGTGACAGTGCTGTTGAAATAAACTGACTTGAATTGAAATGATACACTGATACAATATGTCTGATTAATTATTTTAACTACCACAAGTGTAACAAGGTACAGTATCCAATAGATAACATGTCAAGTCCTAGCAAGGAAATAATCTGTTTATTTTTCTCAATTTTGTTTGTTCTTTAGAAACTTTTATTGACCATTTAAAAAACCCCAGATGTACCTGTTTATGTTGACCACTTCACATTGATCTACTCCAAGTATCCTGACAGATTTAAAGGAAGTTGTACCTCCAGCAATAAAATGCAGCTCCATTAACTCCCATGTCTCTCTCTCTCTTTCAGATTAAATAACACAAGCAGTAAGGGTACTTACACACATAATGCAGGCTGTGAATTCACAGGTCCCAGTGCCAACAGTGATATACTGAATTTGATCATTGGACATTCCTGCCTCTTTAAAAACACAAGATGCATAGAAGTAGATCTGCAAAAAGAACAGAATATGTAAAAATACTAAAGGGTATTATTGCTTGTTACTGTGGCTCAAATGACAATAAGCTGATTATGCAAGTATTTGTACACTCTGTAATTGTGTCAACCCAAAAGTCTCCTTAAAATGGCTTAAAGCCTCTAAACTCAGGAATAATTAATCAGCATTTTCTGCTGCAAAGATGTCAAGTTAAATCCATTTAAAGCACAAACTGCTGATGAATCACCTGGAATTTCTAATCATCATATGCTTATAAAAAGAAATTTTGGCCAGAAAAACCACCCATTCCTGCTTCTGTATTGTAGACTCAGTTCCACTGATCCATACAGGTCATAACCCTAACACATTTCTAAACACAATCCATCTACCAGTTTTCCGTCAAAGATCCTGACAGTTCTTACAGAGTCATTCCCACAGAGCTGCATGGCGCTGCTGATGATGATGACGGAGATGAGCTGCCAGCGCACGGAACGATCCATGAAAAGCTCCCAGGGTCGGCTTGGTCTCATGCCTTTGGTTTCGGCTTGTTCCTGCAGGATCTCATCAAGCTCGCCGCTCTGGACCTCACAGCCCCTCAGACGCCTCAGAGCTGGACAGGAGAAAAAAAGAAAAGAGTATGGCCTGAAGATATGAGTATTTTATACAACAGTAAACTTTTAAAAACAGAATATTTTCTCAGTCATCCATCCATCCATTATCTTTAGATGCTTCTTCCTTTTCGAGTCACGGGGGTCACTGTGCTCATGTCCAGCTATCACTGTGTGAGAGACAAGAGAGTCCTGGACAGGTCTCCAGTCCATCACAGGACCACATAGAGACAAATGAGACAAACAACCCTTCACCTCTCATTCACACCTAGGGACAATTTAGAGTTACCAATCAGTCTAACATGCATGTTTTTGGTCTGTGGGAGGAAACTGGAGTACCCGGATAAACCCACACATGCACGGAGAGAACATGCAAACTCCACCCTAAAAGGTCCATGGACAGGGATTTGAACCAGAGCAACCTGCTCACTGAGAGGCAGCAGCTCTACCAACTGTGCCACCGTGCTGCCCTTTTCACAGCCATGTATTATATAATATTTTTCACTACATTTGAGTGTGTATAGCAGTTTACAGCCTTCACTCTGCAGAGACAAAGCTTTTTTCCTGTCTATATTTTCTTATCTTACATTTTGAAATTGTAAATTTGAGAACTGTGCTTTAAATCAGGGGTTCTCAATTTTTTTCACATCAGATCCATAAAAGGATTAGCAGAAGCTTTTAAAACTAATAGTCACCAGCTTCCGAGCACAAACTTTGCTAATAACACTATAGCAAAAGTACACTTCACTCTCAGACTGCAGGCTTACTTGTGGTTCCTAGAGTTTCCAGGAGCAGAATGAGAGGAACATCTTTCAGTTATTAGGCTCCTCTCTTGTGGAACCAACTTTCAGTTTCTGTTCGTAAGGCTGACACATTGACCAGTTTTAAGACTGGGCTTAAGACTTTCCTTTTTGATAAATCCTATAGTTAGGGTTGGCTTGTTATGCTCCATTTCTATCTTAACATGTGATTCTCGACCTGCCATTGTGTATCTGTTCCTCTTCCTGTTCCTCTTAAACCCAGCTGGTTGAGCCTGGTTCTGCTAGTTTCTTCCTCATGAAGGAGTTTTTCCTTTCCACTGTCGCCTTCATGTTTGCTCAAGATGAGAGTTCTGCAATGAAGTTAAATTCAAAGCAGTCTGCTCCTCAGATAAAGTGTTAACTTATTATTTTTATATATGGAGGTTTCTGTTCAGTGCCCTGAGATTACCTCTCTTGTGACTTAGCGCTATATAAATAAACTGAATTGAACTGAATAAAAGCCATAATAACATCACAAACGATTATGAATCATGGCACTAATTTTAATCAAACATTGAAATTATAATAGAAAACATATCAATAGAAATTATTTCTAATTTAATTCTGATTTTTGGAGATCATCTTTGGACTCTCATTTGGTGTTTCATGACCCACAATGGGGTCCTGATCCCAACTTTGTGAACCACAGCTTTAAATAATCAAGTAATTTTAATTTATTTGATTATTTATTTATTTTAGTAACTCTGTTTTAACAAAATTTATTTATTTGTTTTCCTGAATTACGCTTTTACTATGTTTTCCAGTTGATTTTTTACATATGTACTGTAAGTATTTGTATATATTTAAAAGGAGTTATTAATTGGGTCTGGATTAAGTGTGTACCGTGAAGGCAGTAATTGGGACAGAGCTGGGACCAAAACAAATGATCTCAAAACCACAAAAAAATACAAAATACAATAATGTAATTTTAATGTTATGTGATCTTTAGTTTTATATACAGCACTTTCATCTGCTCTGATTGTTTTTAATGCGCTTTACAAATAAAGTTGGTTTGATTTAAAGTTGACTTAACAGTCAGTGAGAAAAATTGGACTATATATTTATGACACAGTTCATCACTTCTTTGTTCTTGTGCAATTCACTTCATTTCCTGTCTTATTTTGAAGCCCCCTGTTGAAGGGCTGAGTCTAATTTAGTGATCAATTTGTTTAATTAGTAAAGCATTAAACAGCTGGTCAGCTTTTATTTTGAAGAGATTCACATCTAATCTGAGGTGGCTGTGGCTGAGTGGTTAGAGCAGTCGTCCTTCAATGCAAGAGTTGGGGGTTCAAATCCACCAGCAGTCATATGCTAAAGTGTCCCTGGGCAAGACACTGAACACCTCGTTGCCTCTGCTGTGTGTCCCATCAGTGTATGAATGCGATAAAGCTCTGATTAGTCTCTTTAGAATGATTTGTTCATTTAGCTTTGTAGAGATCTAGTGTATGAATGGGTAAATGAGGGCACAGATTGTAGAGTAAAGAGCTTTGAGTATCTTGATAAGATAGAAAGGCGCTATATAAGTACAGTCCATTTACCATATTTAAATAAAGGAAGATCATCTTCAGAAATGTAAACTATGGATCTGGTCAGCTGGTCTCTCAATGCAATTGATCAAATTTTCTCAATGAGAAGACAGGGTGAAGGAGAGCCCTCTTGACACTTGCAGCTGGATACACGATGGATTCCTGGGGGAAGTGGAAGATCGTGTGTCTGTCCATCTTGTCGGTCGAGGAAGTTGAAGATGTGTACATAATTGGATTTATGATAACAGGATTTCTGCTTTTTGGAGATGGTGGTTACCTGGCATATCGACAAATACAGAAAACATCGGCAGCAGTACTGGCCGTTGTAAGGCTGCCTGGCCTGTGTGAAGGAATGTGCCATGCTGTCAGCACTCAGACTCAAACGCTGTGTGACCTGAGCCGTAAGCTGGACGCGATTTCTGCTGAGAATTGCAGGCTACTTGTGGCTCCTGAATCTCACTGGCAGGAAGGAATAGATCTAGGAGAAGTTGTAAGCTCAACTCGACATATGTGACCACAAATTTGGCTGTCTGGAGTTGCCATTGAGTTGTACTAGCGAAGAATGTAAAGGCAGATGGAAATTAACAAAGTTGGCCTGACCCAAAATAAATGTTGCTATCTGAATCTGGCTCCCACTGTGTCGGGCTTGGAGGGATGACTATCTCAAATTCTCCTGGATATTGTTTAAACAAGATGCTGTGCTCCCCCTCTCCCCTACCCGCTCCCTTCCCCAAGGACATGGACCTGTGTCAGAGCTCTACCAAGCCGGCTGATAAACACTGCACCATTATCAGGACTATGGCGGGGGGGGCGCTACCTGGACGGTGCTCACGGACTACTTCTCCTCAAGCTCACTGCTGTTGCTGGCCCCCTCATTTTGCCCCCACCCCCCACAAGGAATGAATTTAAAGTCAAATCCCTAATTGTAAAGCTGAACAAAGTATGCATACAAACCATTAAGACAGGCCTCTTTATCGCCTCTGTCGATGAGCAGGTATCTGGGACTCTCTGGGAACCACGGCAGGGTCAACAGCTGGATGAAGCCAGGAATGGCATTACTGGCTAGAAGGTACTGCCAACACTCCTCACTTCCCAAAATCTCCCTTTAAAACAAATAGTGCAGACAATTGAATATAAATTACACTTAAAGATATAAAAAAAAGATAAGCCAGTTTTAAATAATTGTACCTGAGTCCAACCACCTGTCCTAACACAACCCCGAACGATGTGAAAACAGCCGAGGACAAAGAAATGGCTCCTCTTAAGTGTTTCGGTGCACTTTCTCCAAAATACATGGGCTGCACGTTCATGCTGATTCCTGCATAACAAATACATAATCTCTCATCTTATTCTGTTGTACGTTTGAATAAGTTATATAGTCAGAGGGCTGTGTAAACATTACAACATACCAGCGTTTATCCCGATAAGGACACGTGAGATGATGATCATCTCAAAAGACTTGGCAGCTCGACTCGTTAGCGCTAAGAGAGCACCGCTCATGAGGAAAATATTATTCAGCAGCAGACTTTTTTTTCTTTTGGAGGGAAAAGAGAAGAGAAAACGAAGTGTTTGTGTTAAAACATACAGATTTCCAGCTAAAACATGGGCGTTTGTCACGAGAAAGCCATTTTTAACATATTTTCTTTTTTCTTCTTTTGGCTGCTCCTTTCCTCAGGGGTCGCCGCAGTGAAATATCTCGCACAAAGATTTGACAATTGTTTTTACGCCAGATGACCATCCTGATGCAACCACAGACCACCGAGCTACCACAGCCCTCTGTGTGGAGCAGAGAGCTGCTATCTAGGGTGCCCGAGGGAGCAAACAGTGAACAGTTTAACACTGATAAATACTGTGCCTTGAAAAAGCTTTCAGTGCACTACTCAATCTTTTCCACATTTTTTCACACAACAACCACAAACTTCCAGTATTTCAATGAGAGTTTGTGTGTTAGACCAACAAGTGAGACACAATTGTATAATCACTAATGTTCTGTACCAAACTTCTTAGACTTGGATTTACACAGATTAAAATAAACACAGCTGAACCAAAATCACAATAAAATATTTGAAGTGACTGTAATGTGGCAAAAAAAAAAAAATGTAAAAAGTTTAAGGGGTGTGAATACTTTTTTCGAGGCACTGCATTACCTTCTTTTTACATGTTTGTGACAACAGTCAGACATGGTTATCACCACATTGTTCTCATACACATAAATGGAAAATGTATTCACAGATAAACATGTATTTTCTTGATATTAAAAGACGTTCAGGCTGCAAACAGAATGCTAAGAAGCCTTCCAGATTAAAACTTTTGCTTTCTTGCTAGCTGATATGTACTCTGGCGTATCTAACATTAACAACAATCATGTTTTATTTCAGAAAACTAGGTTACTTTCTTACAAATCATTCAAATCAAAGTGATGTTTCAGACTTATGCAATCCTAATGAGCAGAAATGTTTCTGGCAATTTCTAGAGAAAGTAAATGAACAATCTCTCTTCAGAATGACAAGTTTATCATTTACCGCCATGACAGTACCTCCCGAAGCGTATCGTCATAGGTCCTGCAATAAGAGCTCCTGCAAACCCCCCCAACGAGAAGATGGAGACGATGATTGTCCACAACAGCATCACCTGGTAGTCCTCCAACTGGATGTCCCATCGCTGCAGGAAAGTCTCGTTGATAAAAGTTTGAATAAACTGTAGAGAAAGGAGACAAAGGTCAACGTTTTCAATTTAACTTGAGTTAACCATCGAGTCCAGACAGTGGTTTAAACTCACACTTGTTACTTCTGTGTTGCTCACATTTTGATTTGTTGTGTTTATTGGTCAATACTAATCCTCAGAGACTAAAATAAAACACGGGTTTCTATTTTTGAGTTGCAGAATTATTTTTTTATTTTATTTTTATTTAGCCTTTATTTATCCAGGTTAGTCTCATTGAGCCACGAGAACTCATTTTCAAGAGAGACCTGTTTAGGGAGCACATGGTGGGGGTTAAGGGCCTTGCTCATGGGCCCAGAGTGGGGCGAATGAGGGTGGGGGCAAGTGTGGGTGTTTCACCTACCCCACCCACAATTTTGATGTTGTCGGGGCCGGGGCGTGAACCGGCGATCTTCGGATCACAGGCCCACCTCTCTAAATTATGTTTTATTTATCTAAATGTACGCCATTTAAACATCAGACTACACAATTAGCCCAGTAAACTAAAACCGGATGTTTTACAACAAGATGACAAATCACTGACACAATAAACCTAATCATCATTTGTGCCCCCCATAAAACACAGTGGCCCAAATATGAAATCTCAAAAAGTCTGAACGTTTTTTTACATTAGTTTCCCAAAGCGTGAGATACTTCACCACGATGTGAGACGTTGTTAATGAGTATTTGTGCTGGCACATGTCTGCTGACTGTTTTACAAAGCCCACAGCTGAAAAGTGAAGGTGGAACCTACTAGTTTTGTCTGCATTTGTGTCTACTCTGTAAGCAAAATATCCCACAAGAACCAAAGTTATTTTTAAAGTTTGATCAAAACAGCTGTATCTTTGTCAAGATGATTTTAGTCTGAAACTCTGGCATTAAAGTGATGCTCATTCCTTCATTTATTTAAATTATTTTACTATTTATGATTGCAACTTTAGTTAACTGTGGGAACTCCACACACAAGCAATAACTTACAGTGGTGGGAGCGTTGATTATAGCGAGGTTGTACCCATACTGAAGAGTTCCTCCAATGGCTGCAGAGGCAACCATCAGCACCAGAGTCAGAGGACTGCTCTGTCAGGACAAGAACAGGTGGACTTTCAGTGTCAGCCAGAACAGGAGAGGACAATAACCAACAAATCTCGACTTATCCTTGAATATTGTTTATGTTTGCTAATGTTGATACAAACTATCCATTTAAATCAGAGCTGTAACACTACTGACTTAAGACATCAAATATACTAATTCAACCTTTATTTATACAGGTTAGTCTCAATGAGTCACAAGGACTCATTTACAAGAGAGACCTGTTTTAGACAAAACACAGATACGGTGCACACGTGATAAAGTACACCATAGATAAAGTATACAACAATAAACAGCCATAAAATGCATATAAGATAAAAGAAAACAAAAGTTGTGATATCAAACAAAATAAAATCAAGCTACATAATGAAACAAGGTAAAATATATATATATATATATAAAAATAAAAAAAACCAGGAACATATCTGCAATGAACTTGATTAAAATCCCTCAGAGAGATCAAAGTCGACAGCTTCAGATCTTTTTGCAAGGTGTTATGAAATACATGTCATATATTCAGAGCACATGAACATAAAAGAGTTTCACAAGTCAAAAAAGAACAACTAAAAGAAGAGTTTACCTTCTGTGACATGGTTTAGTGATGGTAAGCGACTGATGGTGTCAGACCGAGCAGCAGAGGTCAGCCCACTTCAAATATCCCTCTCTTAAAGCCTCGACACGCACACGCGCGTGCAGCGTGCTCGTGTCGGGGATTTATGGCCTCTTGTGATTGGCTGCAATAATTCTTGTTAAACGTCACAGCAATGATTTACTTTGACTCTTTACCTCAAGTTAAACGATGTTAAGTTCGGGGGTGGCAAAAGAACCAACGCTGCCGAGAGTGACCGGCACTGCAGCGCATGCGCACAGAGATCGCCGAAAGGCGCATAAACTTGAAAGAGCGGCGGCGCATGCGCAGATAGGCCAAGTCTGGTGCAAAGAGGGGAACTGTGCTACGACGGTTTTTTCTTAAAAAGTAAACAAGTGCACGAAAAGATAACTTTAATTATATATTGTTATATAATATAATATACCAAATTTTAGATAATAAATAAAGTAATAAATTTCAAACACTATTTTAATTCATTTAGGACAGAAATGAATCAACCCTGACATCCTCATCAAGACATTTTTGTTGGGACAAGCTGTATTAACAGTCACCAGGTTTCTGTGACTGTCGACAGTACAGGAGAAGTAATAAAGTTTTCTGTAATTATTATGCAATATTTATTTAATTTTAAAATACCAAATTTTTATGGCCTTTCTCAGCCTACAGGTGACCGTGTTTTTTTAGAAGTTTTTTTCTGCCAACATATGCTGCCATATATATATATATATGCCATATATATATACATATTCTGCCAACAACTCTTTCATTAAAGAGTAACAGATATCCTCAGTGACAGAACGGCGGATGTCCAGCAGATGGCGCTCGTCCGTTTCTTCCTCTGCTTCATAAAAAATCTCAACAAACCAACCCTTCAGTCCACGTGCTCATTTCGTTTAGAGAAAACAAACAGGTTTAAACGTATGTAGAAGTTACAATATCACTTGTAAAAAGCAAGATATTTTATGTTAGGTATTAGTTACAATGATAAGGATGCAAGTTAGCTTTGTGTTTTAATGTTGCAGTATCTAAATGAAAACAGCAGACACTATATATATATATATATATATATAGTTTCTGAAGCAGAATAAAAGGAAAATTATTCAAAATATTTAACAAAAATGAGAGCCTTTAACTTAGCTAAGAAGTTCCAGGTAATTATTTATAGATATTAAACAAAAAAACAGGGCGTCATAATGAGGTCAGAGCGAGCCCTCCTCCTCGGGCTCTAATTGGTCCCCTCTGAAAGGATTACACGAGTTTCCTCAATTGAGCACGGTGAGGTGAAACGCTCTGCACGAATGAGAGGAAAGCGAGGACAGAAAACTCGGCTGAAGATACTTTTCATTGACTTCATATCTCTCTTTTTGTTTGTTTGTTTTCCTAGCGGATCAGATGTTTGTGTTGGACGGCGGTCAACAGCTCTGTCCTGTGATTAAATGGTCTGCAACGCTCATGTGAAGGTTCCTCAGCATTTCACTGAACCCAGTCGACACAATGTTTTGGATTCTCTGGGATGCTCTTTTTCTTCTAGGCGGTGAGTTGAGTTTGTTTTTATCATTGCTTCAGTTGCTCAAATTTCAAATGATGATTCATGATGAGCTGGTGATGATTGGATGACGTCGCTGCTGTGTGTTCATCTGTTTAATGGATGCTCGAAACTAGTTGCTCAGCAGAGCCAATAAAACACATTAAACAGGTCACATGGCACTCAGGCGCTTCACAATGATTTCTGGATGTTTGAAATTATAAAAAAGTGGCATTATTATAGCAAATTTGTATATTTTTGCATTTTTTCCAAAGGCAAAGAATTATTGTGTAGATCAGTGATCCCCAACCGTTTCATCTCCAGACCCAAAGAACATTAATAGATGCATGTTACCCCAAATATTGATGTTCAGGTGTATAAACTTGAATAACTTCACTAAACATAAAAAATAATGATCGCATAAACAGTCCTAGCAATTATCATACCATTTTTATTACATCGATAGTTATGTAATTTATTCATAATGATTGAGGTGAATATACCTTTAGAAATAATTTGTGCAGTAAGTTTGTTTTCTGAAGTACATTTGAAAAGCTTCAGGTGGTGTTTCATGACCTGACCTCAACTTTGGAATCCACTGGTTCAGAACACGTGGGCAAGTCGTCCAAGGGCCAGAAGAAGCCTTTTGGCCATTTTGATCTGGTCCTTGATGCAATCAAACAAAAACTTGTAGAAACAATGACAAGATATATTTTTATTTTATTTATTTATTTATTTATTTTACTTTATTTTTATTTTAAACACCTTAAAGAAAGTTAAAATGAGGATGTCTTCTTGTTGCGTTTTGCACCTAACAAACAAGCTTGGTGCATATTCTCCAAGCCATGTTCACATGTTCCCTGAGGTCAGCCGACCAGTTGCTCCTCACAGTTCCAGGATCTCGTCTTAAGCGCAGAGGTGACAGGGCCTTCTCTGTAGCAGGACCTAGACTTTGGAATGAGTTACCTCTGCTTGTCAGACAGCCCCCCCCCCCCCGCCCCCCTCTCGGTTTTCACGTCCCGTTTAAAAACCCACTACTATTCAGTAGCTTTCAACACAAGATGATTTGTGTTTTGATCCTGTATGCTCCACACTGGTTTGTCGTCATTATCTGCATCGTTTTTATGTCTATATTCTGATTTACCTCATTTTGTATATTGCTTTGTGCGTTACCTGTTTTGTCTGTACAGCACTTTGGTTGGCCTTGTCGCTGTTTTAAGTGCTTTATAAATAAAGTGGTATGGTATGGTATGTTTCCAAGTTTTATGTATATTTGTGGCAGCATTATAGCAGCACATGTCTGGCATAGTTACATTATGGGTTTTGGTCATTTGTAGTGTTTCCGTGTGGATAAAGATACTTCTAGGTACTGTATCATGTTTATGAGACTATTTCTAAAAACGACAAAACAATTTTGGAAAAAAAAAGTTTAAGTGTAGACAGGGTCTAAAACAATACGAACAGGTTTTAGTTCCCAGGTTGTATGTTTAATATCCCTAATTGTAGTCTAAGAACACAAGAAGGGAAACGTGTTAGGAGACAGAGGGAAAAGCGGAAAGTCAAGAATGTAGAACTGAGGGTTGCTACTTTTAAATGTGGGGACAATGACAGGCAAAGAGAGCTGGCTGACATAATGCAGAGAAGGAAGGTAGATGTTTTATGTGTCCAAGACACATAAAAAAAGTTTGGAAGGATCTGGATGAAGTGATAGAGAGTATTCCCAAGGAGGAGAGAGTGGTGATCAGAGCAGACCTGAAGAGACATGATGGTGAAGGAAACAGAAAGGATGAGGAAGTGATGAGTTGGTTTGGTGTCAAGGAAAGAAACCAGGAAGCACAGATGGTGGTGGATTTTGCCAAGAGAATGGAAAGGGCTACAGTCAACACTTATTCTCAAAAGAAGGAGGAACATAGAGTGACCTATAAGTGTGGAGGAAGGAGTAAGCAAGTAGATTGTATGTAGAAGAGGAAACCTGAGGGAGATTGGGGACTGTAAGGTTGTGGTAGGGTTACCATATAAGCAAAACAAAGCGAGCCTTTTATTCCGAGTGTGCATTTTTGCAGATGATGGAACATTTTGTATAATGGATACATTTGGCCATGTTTGAAGTCAAGCTATGGCCCTTCAGTCCTTTTAAAGTAAATCACAATGGCCCTCAGGAAAACTCAAGTTTGTGTTTCACAGAGTGCCTTTTATTTTTCCCCTGCAGGTCCTCTCTTTGGAACAGGTCCCAGCAGTTCAACAATAATCAAAGCCAACATTTCCATTGATGCAAACGTCCCTGCTGCTCCAAACACATCCAGCAGCAACTATTTGATGACCGCTAGCAAAGACACATTTACAACTGATATCCCCACATATAAAAGTAAGTCCATCCAAACACTTTCTGCAGGAGTACATTTCTGTCTTTGTCTCATTATACGTGTGCCCTCTTATCACCAGATCCCTTTGTTTCATCTGAACTACAATGGACGGGTCCAACAATTATAGGTGCTACAGTTCCTGTTTATGCCACGTCTGCTGATCTTAAAGATTCAACGCGCAGTAGCCGAACATCCACAACTACTAAAAAACCTGCTACAGCAGTCAACAACCATCCAGTTAAAAGTAAGTTTCAGTAAAAGCTTCACGTGAAATGAGCTATTACTCAACACCATGTCTGTTGTCCCAGCAGTAGAGCGCAACATTGTATTTTGCAGTGTATCTACATCATGCAGACAGTGTGGCGCACACTGATAATTGATCCTCTTAGGAACATTGTGGGCAGCTATTATAACAAATCAAAGATAATGAGCTGTATATTTATCTGTTGCACAAATAACTGGTCCTACAGTGTTGAGTTGTTGTCTGAAAAAGCAACTTACTCTCCCCTGAAGGCTGGTTTCTGTGTCAGCGTTCTCACATGGAAAGGGAGAGGGCTTGGTAGATGCCTGAGGGACAACAGAGTGCTTTCACCAAGTCTGAAAGGAGGATACAATGCATGTGGGCTGCAATCCAAAGGCCCATTTACTGATGGAATGGAGTGTGTGACGAGGGCTGTAATGCAGCTATCTGTCTGGATACTCATCCTCCTCCTCACCCTTGAATGCCACACTGTGCCGTCTTGTTTTGGATACTTGTGCAATATTGTTGTTAGTTTACAGCTTACATCCAAGAAACCTTCTGTTATTGTCCAGATCTAGTTGCCCCCGTGTTTCATCAGAGTGAAAAGTGAGATGGTTTGTTCAAGGTTTTAATTTCTCCTTTAGAAACTGTTGTTGCTTCAGGGATGTACCTTCTCTTGATGCAGGCAGATGAACAGAGACTTTTGTTCCTTTTCTCACCAGGGGTTTTCTTTGACTCTAATTGTGCCTCCCAGGTAAACTGAGAGATGTAAGCCACCACAGCAGGGAAGAAAAGGCTTAGCTGCCTGTCGTTGGCATAGGCGTTAACTTCAGTCTTTAGCATGTCTCCGTTTCATGTTTCCAAAAAGGCTTTTGCTATTCTAAGGTTTTCTGATCTCTTGTGTAAAACAAAACCTAGTCAGTTGTTACACTTGACCCCATGAACACGCCTTGTTTACCAATTGACCTAAATATTGGGACAATTTCTGGCTATAATATCTTTAATACTGTTTAATTTTTTTTTTTACATCGCCAACTTTTAACCTTTCAGCAGCGGATATGTTTTTGTTAAGTTTAATGTTTTTGTCTGTGTGTGTCTGTGTTTATGTGTATGTATGTTATCAAAATACTGTCATAAATCCATCCAGCCTTCCATTCATCCATCCATCCATCTATCCATCCAACCATCCATCCATTATCTTTACTAGCTTCTTCCTTTTCGGGTCACGGGCGTCACTGGTGCCCATCCATATCCAGCAGTTACAGTGTGAGAGACGGGGGACACCCTGGACGGGCCGCAAGTCCATCACAGGGACACACAAACAATGGAATTTTTTTAATGAAACTTACAGAAAATTATCATTAAATGTACATTTAAAACTGGTTAACTTTTTGAGTCACCCAGATTCAAGATGGCTGCATCTGAATAGCTTCCTGCACTTCACTATTCCACCACCAGGTTTCCTTATCATCCATTCTCTGTCCAGATGACACACCAAGTACTTTCCTACCTGTCTTTCTAATTACTGTTGCTGTAATAGTCCAGTCATTTGGAAGCTCTTTCTTACCACCCAGAGCCTTTAACAGCTCCTCTCTAAATGCCTCACAACATTCTTCCTTCTTCATCTTCCACCATTTAGTATTCTTCTCTGATTTTACTCTTTTCTTCACAACAAGTCATTCTACACACAACCATCCGATGCTGTCTGGCCACGCCCTCCCCTGCCACAACCTTATAGTCCCCAATCTCCCTCAGGTTTCCTCTTCTACACAGAATGTAGTCTACCTGTGTACTCCTTCCTCCACTTTTGTAGGTCACTCTATGTTCCTCCCACTTTTGGAAATAAGTGTTGATTATAGCCATTTCCATTCTCTTGGGAAAGTCCACCACCATCTGTTCTTCCTGGTTTCTTTCCTTGACACCAAACCTACCCATCACTTCCTCATCCCCTCTGTTTCCTTCACCAACATGTCCATTCAGGTCTGCTCCGATCACCACTCTCTCCTCCCTGGGAATACTCTATCACTTCATCCAGATCCTTCCAAAAATTGTCTTTCTCCTCTACATCACATCCAACCTGTTGAGTTTAACCACTGACTATTTTTAGCATTAGACCTTCTACTTTTCCCTTCAGATACATCACCCTATCTGACACTTTTTTTCACCTCTACTACATTTGGTAGCTTGTCCTTCTGGACCACCCCTACTACATTTCTCTTTCTATCCACACCATGATAAAACTGTTTAAACCCTGCTCCAATGTTGCGAGCCATGTTACCCTTCCACTTGGACTCTTGAACACGTAAAACATCTACCTTCCTTCTCTGCATCATCATCTGCAAGGGCGGCTGTGGCTGAGTGGTTAGAGCAGTCGTCCTCCAATGCAAGAGTTGGGGGTTCGAATCCCACAGCAGTCACATGCCGAAGTGTCCCTGGGCAAGACACTGAACCCCTTGTTGCCTGCGATGTGTGTCCCATCAGTGTATGAATGTGATAAATCGCTGATTAGTCTCTTTAGAATGATTTGTTCAATTAGCTTTGTAGAGATCTAGTAGAGTGCTGTATGAATGGGTAAATGAGGACACAGATTGTAGTGTAAAGTGCTTTGAGTGTGTCAATAAGATAGAAAGGCGCTAAATAAGTACAGTCCATTTACCATTTGCATCATGTCAGCCAGCTCTCTACCTTTTCCTGTCATTGTCCCCACATTTAGAGTTGAACCCTTAGTCCTACATTCTTGACTTTCCTCTTCTCCCTCTTTCTCCTGACACGTTTCCCTCCTCATGATCTTCGACTAACAGTAACACAATTTCCGGCAGCACCCTGTTTGTCAACAGCAAACAGGGTTGTTGTTTATCCGGGCCTTGACCGATCTGGTATGGTGTCACTTGGATGAACTTGCAAAGTAGTTTTGGCAAAAGTGTTTTGCGTTGAATGCCCTTCCTGACACAACCCTCACTATTTACTCGGGCTTGGAACAGACACAAGAGATACACTGCCTTGTGCTCCCTAGTGGCTGGTTTATTGTTCACATTAAACCAGTGTTCACATTTCCATTAATGTTTTTAACCCTGTAGAAGACTGATATTGACCCATTTAGTTGTGTTGATTTAATGTAATGTGGAAAAATATGCAGTGAACCAGGACGAGTCTAAAATGTCTTTCTTTGCCTGTTCATGATATAACTAAAAGCAGTAATGATGGTTAAATTTATCGTAAATAAAAAAAATTAAAAAGAGTTTGCAGACCTTTCAAAGGATTCTTAGTTCATTTTATACCTTTAAAACAAAATAGTCTTCCTTGAAGGAATACATAATGCTCCCTACATATATGTCAAAGTTTTAAACGAAGATCTTGCGCCTGGGTGCCCTGGCTCTGCCGGGCCTCTGTTGGGGGTTGGTATGACCTCGGGACTCGGTGTCCATGGCCGGATCTACAAACCGGATTCCAAAAAAGTTGGGACACTAAACAAATTGTGAATAAAAACTGAATGCAATGATGTGGAGATGGCAAATGTCAATATTTTATTCGTAATATAACATAGAAGACAGATCAAAAGTTTAATCTGAGTAAATGTAACATTTTAAAGGAAAAATATGTTGATTCAAAATTTCACAGTGTCAACAAATCCCAGAAAAGTTGGGACAAGTAGCAATAAGTGGCATATAACGAACAGCTAGAAGACCAATTAACACTAATTAGGTCAATTGGCAACATGATTGAGTATAAAAAGAGCTTCTCAGAGTGTCAGTGTCTCTCAGAAGCCAAGATGGTAAGAGGATCACCAATTCCACCATTGTTGCGCAGAAAGATAGTGCAGCAATACCAGAATGGTGTTACCCAGCGTAAAATAGCAAAGACTTTTAAGTTATCATCATCAACCATGCATAACATCATCAAAAGATTCAGAGAATCTGGAACAATCGCTGTGCGTAAGGGTCAAGGCCGTAAAACTCTACTGGATGCTCGTGATCTCCGGGCCCTTAAACGTCACTGCACCTCAAACAGGAATGCCACTGTCAAGGAAATAACAGAATGGGCTCAGGAATACTTCCAGAAAGCATTGTCAGTGAACACAATCCACCGTGCCATCCGCCGTTGCCAGCTGAAACTATACAGTGCAAAGAGGAAGCCATTTCTAAGCAAGCTCCACAAACTCAGACGTTTACACTGGGCCAGGGGTAATTTAAAATGGAATGTGGCAAAATGGAAGACTGTGAGACCCCAGACTGAGTCACGATTTGAAGTTCTTTATGGAACACTGGGACGCCATGTCATCCGGACCAGAGAGGACAAGGATAGCCCAAGTTGTTATCAACGCTCCGTTCAGAAGCCTGCATCACTGATGGTATGGGGTTGCATGAGCGCTTGTGGCATGGGCAGCTTGCATGTCTGGAAAGGCACCATTAATGCAGAGAACTATGTTCAGGTTCTAGAACAACATATGCTCCCATCTAGATGTCATCTCTTTCAGGGAAGACCCTGCATTTTTCAACACGATAATGCCAGACCACATTCTGCAGCAATCACAACATCATGGCTACGTAGGAGAAGGATCCGGGTACTGAAATGGCCAGCCTGCAGTCCAGATCTTTCACCTATAGAGAACATTTGGCGCATCATAAAGAGGAAGGTGCGACAAAGAAGGCCCAAGACAATTGAACAGTTAGAGGCCTGTATTAGACATGAATGGGAGAGCAATCCTATTTCTAAACTTGAGAAACTGGTCTCCTCTGTCCCCAGACGTCTGTTGAGTGTTGTCAGAAGAAGGGGGGATGCCACACAGTGGTAAAAATGGACTTGTCCCAACTTTTTGAGGATTTGTTGACGCCATGAAATTTGGAAACAACAGATTTTTCCCTTAAAATGATACATTCTCTCAGTTTAAACTTTTGATCTGTGATTTGTGTTCTATTCTGAATAAAATATTAGATGTTGGCACCTCCACATTATTGCATTCAGTTTTTATTCATAATTTGTTTAGTGTCCCAACTTTTTTGGAATCCGGTTTGTACTCTGGAGGGGCGGGTTGCCGGCGGGGCCTGTGGACTCGTCGCTGCAGCCTCTTGGGGTTTCTGCATTGAGGTTGCTGGGGATCGCCCGGGGCTTCCCTTTGCTTCTCTCTCTGGGGGTGCGGGTGTCCATGTTGGGGGACTCCTGGAGTTCCGGGCTTGGGGGCCGCTGTGTGTCTGTGGTTCCGGTCTTCCCTGTGTTACCATCATGTCCTGTGTGGATGGGTCTGTGGGTCCCCACATCCACTATTGAACATTTTTATGAAGAAACCTTATAGTGATAAGCATGCTCACACAGGTGTTTAGATTCAGGTGTTTATCAGATACACACTCAGTTGGGTTGTGGTGGCCATCAAATATATCTTGTATTACCATGTATTGTATAAAATACTTTCTAATGATGTTAAAAGTATCATTATATATGTTGTTTGTTGTTGTGGTTTCTCGGTTTTGTCTTGTCTTTTTTTTCCGCAGGTCTAGAGGCAGACTTCAATGATGTTGATTTGTGTTCTCTTTATACCTCTCTCTCTCCTCTATTCCTATCTCATTCTTTACCTTTTAACCCTTCTCTCACTTTTCTGCTTTGTCATCTTCTTTGTTTTTCATCCCCATGTCCATTACATCTGAAAAAAGCCCATCGCAAATTCTAATAAAATTTAATTTTCATATCAAGTGGAGCATTAAGGCCAGCCATAATGCTCTGCTTGTGAAAGTAAATCTGTTGGGCATCACTTTGACACTCAGACAATAATTCTAAGTGTCACAATGCCGGACAGGACAAGGGAAAAAAAAAAAAGATATTGCATGATCCGTCATTGCTTCAAGTTTGTGTTGGGAATGACTCTCAGCTACAACCACAACAAATCTTTGCTCAATATCAGTGAAACTGACTGGATTAAAGCCATATTTTATGTCAACTAAGTCTGATTAGCTGAAGTGATAAACACCTGCACAGTCCAGGATTTATAATGCTCTTCAGAGTCACTGATTTAATTTATTATTTTTAAAAACACCTGTTGGTGGCATCAAAACATCCATAGTACTTTGTATCATCCCCCTGGTGGTTGGATGCTTGTCTCTATGTTGCATCAGAGCAGGTCATCCAGCATGAACACAGACTGAAATGTTGCAATGGAGTCCAAACTTTGCTTTCTCGCTGCTCTGTGCACCGACCTGTAAATGGAGCAGAGCCACCGCTTGAAAAAAGCGGTCTATTTTGTTGTTATTGTTGTCGATTCAGTTCCAAACAGTGCCAAAGTCTCACTTTAGAGCTGTGTTTTGTTTACAGAAAAGCATGGCAGTTCTTATTTTCTCTCAGTTTTACTTTTTCTGATTGTTTTCATTCAACCTTTATTTATACAGGTTAATCCCACTGAGCCTCGGGGACTCACTTACAAGAAAGACCTCATTTCTTTAACAAAGAGTGATGACAACAGTGGACAACGATAACAATAGACTGTCATAAAGGAGACATACAATTTTTTTTTTTTTTTTTTTTTTACTAATTAAAATAAAATGGCAACCAAAAGGACAGTCAAAAGGAAAAAGTAGCAAGGAAAAATAAAACCCCAGCTAGAAATGAACATTATATTACATTATGAACATTATATCGGATGTCTCTCAAATGTTCGATAATGGAACTCAAAGAGCTTGATGCCAGTGATAAACACTGTCTGTACGTATGTTATCCTCACAGAGTTTGTGGCAGCGGCTGTTCGCTCTCATTTTGACGACTGTCCAGACTCCCACCAACATTTCTGCTTCCATGGCACGTGTCGCTTCCTGATACTGGAGGAGACGCCGGCATGTGTGTAAGTCAAACTTCACACATGGAAACTGTTTCATGTATTCATCTTACTTACTCAAAGAAGCCACACTCGAGGACACAAGACAATTTTTAACTGGTTTTACTTGCAAGGGCATACTTACACAATAGACTTACACAGATGTAAAAAAGTTCTATATGCATGGAGCCCAGTCACAAGAATCTGCACTGGGCAGTGTGTGAGAATTGTTATTTACACACTTATTAGCTCTCTGCTCAGAGGCAGGCCCTGATGGCCTCGGCCACACAGCACATGCAGGACCAAATCAGCTCCTCATTCCGCCGTCTCTGAGAGGGAAAAGAACTCTCTGATAGCTCACACATGGTTTGTGGATAGTTAACATTAGTAGTGATAAAACATCCATAACCCTAGACCAAAAATCCCCTGACAGAAACCTTAAGCTTTATCAGATGTGCTGTGGTTGTTTTGTCATTTCAGCTATGCAAAGCTCCTTGTGCTCCTTTCAACCTCTAGAACTGTACTTTTATGTTGGAGCAAAATGTTTTCATCTGTCAACAGAGGCTTGAATAAAATCTTAAGATCTAAATCCGTTAGTAGTGATTGATGGCTGGACTTGGGGTGCTACGGTTTCTGCCTTTTTAAAAGGCCATTCTGGATGAAGTGCAGATAAAAGCACACAGGAAACCTGCCATTTTCATCCAAATTAGTTGGAACAAACATGCTGTTCCCATTGAAGCAGCAGAGAATAGTGTTCACTAATTTACAAGACTTCTCTTTCGGTAATTTTAAGCTGCATTTAATTTTGAATGAGCTCTTGATTGATTTTTTCTGTCTGGGCTCCAGGTGCCACCCAGGTTTCGTTGGACTGAGGTGCGAGCACGCAGACCTGCTCGCTGTGGTGGCCACCAATCACAGGCAGCAGGCCGTTGCTACAGCGCTGGTGCTGTGTGTGATCGGCTGTGTCCTCATTATGGTGTTGTGTTCTTTCTTGCAGTAAGTTGTTCAGTTTTAGCGTTGTAGCGGACAATCAGCTGCAATATTTAAGATAATAAGCACCAAGGACCGCTGGGTTTTCATTTCCCCTCCTTTTCTTCAGTTACTGGTGGAGGCAGGACTGTCGGAGGCAAACTCGTGCACATCTCTATGTGACAGAAAAACATGGAGCATCCTACTATCCACCGGAGAGTGGTGCGTATCTCTTATTTGCGCATTGTGCTTAATACAAGTGTGTGTTGAACGTCACATTTCCATGAACATAAAATGTAATTGAGCATGAGAATGTTAAAGTGACAGCAGTGAAGGAGCAAAAATGTCCAAACGTGTGTTCATTCGACAGTCGTGCTAAAGCAAAGAGTACACGGCTTCACTTGGAGGTGGAGATGTAAATCCCAGGCTGTAAATGAGAAAAAACTCTTTGTTTGAGATGGGCTTTGTACAGCATGTATCAGATATTAAGTTGTTCTGTTGTCAAGAAATCCTTTAATTTGCTTCATAAGCATGTCATTGTTTTATGCTTATGTGTAGCTCTTAGTCTAAGACATATTTAATTTGTGTGAACACGTCAAAGATTTTTTTGTTTTATCACCAGGAACTGTTTCCTAAATTGATCAGCATTAGTCTGATTGACCAGAATATTGAACCTGTTTTTGTTTAAGTTACAATCAAACTAAAAGGAAGTTGACGTATTTCAGTAACTGAAAGAAGGCCAGCTGTGTTTGAGTGACTCCTGTATTTCAGGGACCAGACCAATTCACCTTTATTGTGGCTGTGTTTCTGGTCACCCAGTGCAATAATGTAGCTCAGTTATGATTTTACCAGTTCTCCTATGGGATTATCAGCCGGTCATAAAAAGTATAGTTTAGGGAAGTCTCCTGTAAATAAACGGAAAAGGGTATTTTGTAGTGCACATTAATTTGTTCATACGGAAAAAACACAGAGCACAAATGCAGTATTAATGTGGTTGAATGTTACTCAGCAAGCTGCAATTTGAGTGGACACGTTCAGCTGACATTTTGGCTGAATTAATATAGTAAAAAAAAATCATCCCCTTTTATTTAAAGTCATTTGAATGAAATACAAATGTTTTTTGTGGCACAAACCTATTGTTTTCATGGCCTCCTTAGTCTTTAAAGTTGTTTCCAGGACTTCGGGAAGGCCATGTAAAGATTTGACAGCTTTATCCATTCCACATCCGCAAACAGATGTTTGTTTGAGGTCAGCAAAGTGCAGTTTGATGACTTGAATGCATGATAACGAAATTTGGGGTTGTCCAGTTTTTTTGTCATCTTTTTAAAATTTACAAGTCATGTGTTTGGTTTCAAGCAAACCCACCCCAGGATGAAATGTTACTGTCATGTTTAAAAGCTGGAAGTGTTTGTTTTTGGAGTCAAATTTCTCACTTTTACATTTTCAAACATACCCTCAAGCTCGACTTGTTGACTTTTGAAAGGACAACAGATGTCCCAGCAACTTCCATTCATGGCAGCACAATGGCTCAGTGGTTAGCACTGTTGCCTCACAGCATGAAGGTTCTGGGTTCAATCCCCGGTTGGACCTGGGGTCTTTCTGTGTGGAGTTTGCATGTTCTTCTCGTGCTTGCATGGGTTTTTTCCGGGTACTCCGGTTTCCTCCTACAGAACAAAAACATGCATGTTAGGCTGCCTTCAGGCCCAGGCCTCTCTTGTAAAAGAGATCTGTGATCTCAATGGGATTTGCCTGGTTAAATAAAGGTTAATAAATAAATGGTAGACCGGTACTTTGGTGGTTCTTGGTTTGTTTCTGGCCAGTTAAATCAATTCTTTGGGGACAGTTTATGTTCTGTTTCATACGTTGGCAAAGTAGCTACAACTTGTTTGAAATGCTTAAATGCAAGTGTTCAAACCTTCTTTTTTTGTTTATGAATG